AATATATAACTGACAAGGAAGAATTTTCTTACTGTTGTGACATAAATTGTATTTCTACAATTTCTATATTAAATTATAGAGAATATTCATAAATAGAGAGCAGGCACATATTTATTCAGATTGGTGCCTCTAATAAAAAGTACATCTTTTTATGTTATTTCTGCTTTGGATGGGGGATATAACTAGGGAATTAAATTGCCGATTTCTTTATTATAGGATACTTAATTTCAATTATTAACAATTTTTGAACTGTTAGTAATTAGAATCTAGCAATGTTTAAAATAATCTGCATATCTGTAAAACAATTGAGGATTTTCTGAAGAAAAAAAAAGTTAGTTTGAACCACAAGCTTTTTTTTTTTTCCTCCCAAGTACACCATACACATCTATCTTCTATTCCGGAATTGTTATCTGAAATAAGATACATAATTTCATCAGGAAATCAAAGTTGATGTGTCAGTGTTTTATAACTTCTAATGTAGATTTGTAACTATATCTGTACAATTTACCTCAGCAAGCGAGGAAATTCACTTTAGGAAATTGTAGACCTGAAAGATGAAACTCCAAAACCATTCCAGATTTTTTTGTCTGTGTGTGTTTTTTTTAATATATATATATATATATAAGCTTTCCATTGCTGTTTTTCCTTTACAAATCTCCATTGATAAAGTCAGAATATTCTTTTTGGCCTCCTAATACTGACATGCTCACACACCTAGTGCAGGTAATCCTTGACTTACAGCAGGGGTCCCCAACCTCCGGTCCATGGACCGGTACCGGGCCGCGGCATGCCAGCAACCGGTCCATACAAACAAGCAAAGCCCCATCCGCGGGATGCAAGCAGCACACAAAAACACACACCCCCCGGTCCGCGGAAAAACCTTTCTCCACAGAACCGATCCCTGGTGCCCAAAAGGTTGGGGGCCTCTGACTTACAGCCATTCATTTAGTGACCATTGGACCAGTGGGCAGCACTGAAAAAAGTGACACGATTATTTTTCACAGTTACGACCTTTGCAGCATCCCCGCGGTCACGTGATCAAAAATCAGACGCTTGGCAACTGACTCCTATTTATGACCGTCGCAGTGTCCCGGGGTCACGGGATCTCCTTTTGCGACCTTCTGACAAGCAAAGTCAATAGGGAAGCCAGATTCAACTTGTTATTAATTTAACAACTGCAGTAGTTCACTTGTCAGCTGGGGAAGAAAGGTCATAAAAGGGGGCAAAATAAGTTTTGGGCTCAATTGTGATCATAAGTCAAGAACTACTTGTATAAGAAATCTGGGTAGAATATTTGATACCTCTCCGTATCTATTTAGTTTTAGGCAAAGTTTGTTATGGTTTGTCAGAATTGGTTTCATTTTTCCACTGCTGTGCCAAAGAATATGAAACTCACAGGCTGCTTATAATTTATCTATCTCTATCTCTATCTCTGTCTGTCTGTCTGTCTGTCTGTCTGTCTGTCTGTCTGTCTGTCTGTCTATCTATCTATCTATCTATCTATCTATCTATCTATCTATCTATCTATCAATCATCTATCTATCTATCTATCTATCTATCTATCTATCTATCTATCTATCTATCAATCATCTATCTATCTATCTATCTATCTATCTATCTATCTATCTATCTATCTATCTATCTAATCTATCTAATCTATCTATCTATCTATCTATCTATCTATCTATCTATCTATCTATCTATCTATCTATCTATCTATCTATCTATCTATCTATCTAATCTGGAAGATCCAGTGTATATTCCCAAATAAGTGAATGTAGTCTCAGTTAAGTATCTTCTTATTTGCAGAGCATTTTTAAGTAACCTTCCAAGGCTTTCAAATGAACTTTAGTTTATAAGCTATTTCTCTTACGACAGGAATTCTTAACTTAATTTATGGGGTGTCTTGTTTGAGATTCATGAAGAGGGTTTTTTAGAATAGATGTGAGGCTCAAACTGGAATAGCACAAATGCTAATACAGTCAGGGAGCACCGGACTAAAGTAACTAAAATTTAGTTAGGGGACGTCTATCACGTATATAGAGATAGTCGTTGACTTAACAGCCATCCATTTAGCAAGTGTTCCAAGTTACAACGGCATTGAAAAAAGTGGCTTAGAAGCAGTCCTCACAATCACAACCATTGCAGCATGTCCATCTTCCCATGATCAGAATTCGAGCACTTTTAATTTATAGGCACCTATATAAATTTGTTTAGCAAATAAATAAAATATTTATTTAGGATGGTCGCAGTGCTCCGGGGTCATGTGTTTGCAGTTTGCAACTTTCCCAGCTGACATCTGACAAGCAGCGTCAAGGGTGTGTGTGTGTGTGTTGGGGGGAGAGATTGTCAATGTTTACTACAGTCAAAGACCAAAGGGGGGGGGGAGATTGCATTGGCCTAACAACTGCAGTCGTTCACTTAACAATCATGGCAAAAACGTTTAAAAGGCTTATTAGATATGGATTGGTTTATGGCTTAAGACACTTAAATAAGAGGTTAGATTGAATAAAAATTAATGAAAGTTTGAACTTAATAATAGGTTATTTTGTCTATGTATTAATATGTTTTGGATATAGTAACATTGGGAAGACGTTAAAGAAACTTGATATAGATATTGAGGGATTGACTGTTAGATTATAAAGAATAATAGAAATAGAAAGGTATTTTTTCTTTTTTCTTTTTTTTTTGTTTTGTTTCTGTTTTTTTTCTTCTTTGTTCCTTTTTTCCCTCTCTGATTTGAACTAATATTTTCTTTTCTTATTAGAACTGATAGTCATCTTGTAATGGAAGAGGAATAGAAAAAAAGAAGAAGTAATGATATTAATAAATGTCTATTGAATGTGTTAAGGGAAAAGGTTACGGGGAGACTCCCGAAGTGTTAACTAGGTATTTAGATTAGAAATATGGAATATAGTAAGTGAAATAGTTAAACTTAATACAGGATTTGGATTTGTGGATTTATTTAGATGAAAGATTATTGAGGATTGTTATGATTGATTTAGTTGTATTGAAATATATCAATTTGAATATAATATGTCATTAGAAGGAAAAGAGAGGAGGTTTTTAATGACTTAATCTGAACTTTATAAATATGACTTTGTTTTGTGGACAACTGATTGCCCTGCCACCACGTTGTTTCTTAAGCACTTGTTTGTAAAATGAAAAAAACAATAAAACTTGTTTTAAAAAAAAAATCATGGCAAAAACATTGGACTCAACTCACTTTACAGTAGCCTTGCTTAGCAATTGAAATTCTAGTCTCCGTTGTGGTCGTAAGCCAAGGACTACGTTTCTCTTTGTTATCTCAGTCTTAAAGCGCCTTCTTCCTTCAGGTGCTTTTTCAAGAGGCAACTGGACTTTCTCGTTTTTCTTTTGAAAACGTTTCGCTTCTCATCCAAGAAGCTTCTTCAGCTCTGACTGGCGAAACGTCTTCAAAGAAAAACAAGAAAGTCCAGTTGCCTCTTGAAAAAGCACCTTCGGGACAACCACGACCCGGATGACTGAGAATCTCCATAGACAGCCTTCTTCCTTCAGTTTTTTTTTTTGTTGGTCCTTCTAGCTATCTGTCTTAGACCAGAGCTCTCCAACCTTTCTGGATTTGCTACCCGGAGAGAAAGGGAGGAGCAAGGAAATGAGTGTGTGCGCGCGCATGCGCAAATGGGCCGCTAACGCCCACCTCACACTGGCGGCAGTGCTAGCATCCCCGCATATGCGCAAATGGGGAATGCAACTGGAGTGGAGGGGGTGTGCGGGCTTGCCAGCCATTCCCGTAGCCCAGTGGCCGATAGGCCGCGGCCTGATACCGGTCCACGGCCCACAGGTCGGAGACCCCTGTCTTAGACTACAAAAAAATTCAAATCCTTCTGAGATTTTGGTACACTGCAATATTTCAATTCAATCAAGGAGGGTCATTGCTATCTGCCCTTGTCTGTACGTTAATATAATATACACTGAGAAATGGACTGTACACTTTTTGTTATGGTGTATGTTTGTGTGTGTGGGGGATGACATGAATATTTACTTCCATGGTAGGAACATAGGTTTAGAAAGCTAATAATAGGCTGGGATCTAAAACCCCTTAACCTTATGCATCCAGACTGAGAGTGCCACTGGCGTTTGTAAAACCGACTTTCAAAATATCCATAAAACATAATTTGTTAGTTTGCGCATCTGATATCCCCCGAGAAAACGTAAAATAGTGTTTTGGTTGTCCATTTAGTTTTAGCTCTTTTTCTAATTAAATATTGACTCTCGTGACTTTTGAAGAATGTTGACCCTTTTGTTACGTTTATCTTTCTTGTTAGCTCAGTTTACATAATCCAGAGATTAAACTACAGTCCCTAAAGGAAGATATTAAGGAATTTCTGAAGACCTCAGGTTTGTGATTTTTATTCATTATATTTTAAGATTTTGGGTTTGAATAAGTGCTGAATATTACATCCCATCTATTCGAGGCTAATTTTCAACAGACTAATAAATACCTTAACCGAAGCAGCTTATAAAAATGTATCTTTATTCTCCGCTAACAACCATGGAGTCCAAGCTGATATTGCTCCAATTTTCTATGCAATTTTTTTGATATCTCTTCCTTGCTTTAAGCAGCTTGTTAACCAAACTGCTGAACCCTATACCTGAGATTTCACAGGCTGAAATTGGTCAAGTTCTGTCTTTTTAATACTAAAAATTCTCTTTCCTACCCCATCCAATTATTCTCAAGTTTTTAACATCCGAATTATGAGTTTTTCTAATCCTCAGGTGTTTTTTTTTTTAACTCTTATTTTGCCAGGTTGGGAAAAGAAGCTGCACAATGCTGTTTATAGAGAAATCAGTATGTGAGTTTTGTTTTTGTCTCAGTGCTGGTGTAACTTTTGCGTCATGTTTGCATGCAGTGTTTCTTACCTCGGAGGTTCCTAAAATTTTGCCACCCCCCTTTTCTTTAGTGTAATCTTAATGTGCAACATTCCCTACAAATCCAAACACCCAAAACAATACAGTAAAACTGGGAAAGATGGATTTCTTGTAACGAAGCGTAAGTAAAAGAAATTCTTCACTTCACCCCTGGATTCTGTCTGCACTTGTTCAGGCGAGGTATATTTCGCAGCTTGGGAAACCCTAACTTAATGTGTGCAGGTGGTCCTCGACTTACAGCCACAACTGACCCCCAAATTCCCATTGTTAAATGAGTTGTGCCCCCTGTTATGACCTTTTACGTCACAGTTGCTAAGTGAATCTGGCTTCCCCATTGATTTTGCTTCTCGGAAGCCAGCTGGGAAGGTTAAAAATTGTGATCACATGACCTTGGGACCATGCAACTGTCCTAAGTACACGCCAGTTGCCAAGAGCCCAAATCTTGATCATGTGACCATGGGGATGCTGCAACAGTCGTAAGTGTGAAAACTGGCCACAAATTACTTTTATCAATGCTGTTGTAACTTAAGATAAGGTAACCTTATTGCGAGCACACTGGCACAGATTAAAAATGAAATTCTGTTGCCTGTTCTTAAAAGAAAGTATATATCTACTCATACACATAAGTAACACACATATACACATGCTATACACATATATACATATATACATATATACATATATATACATAGTAGGAAACAAAACGTGAGCACCAGGAGGTTGTAAAACAGTTAAAAGTTTTATTAAAACATTAAAAACCTTTAAAAGAATATTAAAAAGGACCTAGCTTTTGTTGGATCCTATCAACATAGTCAGGGTAAAGAATAACTCAATGGGAGAAAGCATTTATAGGCCAGCCAACGCCTGCGCCCGGGCCCTAGATCTCGTGATGGGTCCTGGATAACCAATCGATGTATGCCCCTCATCACTCTCATTAACTATCCTTGCATTGACACTCACACCCCCATTCCTCTGTGTCCGTGCACCGTGAGGGCGCTTAGCCTCACCTGGCACACAAGTGCCATCTAGTTGTCCCCTCCTCTGCTCCTTGTTCGCCCCCATCCAATCCGGCTGCTAACCACCTCCACAGACGAATTATTAATAAACAGAGGTGTGTGGTTGTGTCTGCCTTTTCTGAAATCAATAATGATCTGTTTAGTTTTTCCTGTGTTTAAAATGAGGCTGGTTTTGTTCACCAAATCCTCTACCTTATAGTAAGCAGCTTCATTGTCATTCTGAATAAGGCCCACTACTGTTATATCCTCTGCATACTTCACAATAAGATTGGTGGCAAGCCTAGCGCAACAGTCATGGGTAAACAGGGTGGACAACAGCAACAACAACTTTGAATGATCATTAAGGGGAATGGTTGTACGTCAAGGACTACCTGTATGGCATTGGTTTCCATTGCAACTCATTCTTGTTTGAACACATTATAGCCTCCTAAAAGGATCGTTTGGGTCATTAAGCGAGGACTTAACGTGGCTGTGATATTTGACTTCTTGCAGACTTCTTCTGACTTCTTGCAGGCTTCCCCATTGGCCTTGTGGGAAGTTAGCAGGGAACAAAGAATGAATTGTCTGAAATTGTCTTCAATTTCATCCTACCGTATTGCCGGGATAAATAGTGAAACATAATTGCCTCTAGCAATATTTCACAAGGCCACGGATTGCTCGTGACACCATATATTGAGAGACGTGGTGGCGCGGTGGTTAGCATGCAGTATTGCAGGCTAATTATGCTGACTGCAAGCAGTTCGATCCTGACCGGCTCGAGGTTAACTCAGCCTTCCATCCTTCTGAGGTCGGTAAAATGAAGACCCGGATTATTGGGGGGGCAATAGGCTGACTCTGTAAACCGCTTGGACAGGGCTGTAAAGCACTGTGAAGTGCTATAAAGCAGAGGTCCCCAACCTTTTGGGCACCAGGGACCAGTTCCGTGGAGAGAGGATTTTTCGTGGACCAGAGGGTGCGTGGTTTTGTGTGCTGCCTGAATCCCGTGGATGGGGCTTTGCTTGTTTGTGCGGCCCGGTTGCTGGCATGCCAACAGCCCGGTACTGGTCCACAGACCAGGGGTTGGGGACCCCTGCTATAAAGCACTATGAAATGGTATATATTGTGCCTGAAAATTTACTTATCTCTAAGACAAATCTGATCTATAAAGATTTATCCAGAAATGTGAGTCTGAATAGTACTTGCACTAAAATATACCTATTTTTTTTTCCTTTTAGGTTTCCTTTACCTTGTTCTCCATCAGTGCCTCCTGAACATATCAAGGAACCTTTGGCTTACATGAGAAAAGCTCAGGTTTGATGTGATTAAATTTTACTGCACATGCTCAAATATGGATATATATATCTATATAAATAAAAATGTAAATGTTCGTTTGTTCAAAATCTTAAATCTCCGAAAGTTCTTCACCGATTGCTTTGAAATTTTGACACAACGTTGCATTTGAATACGCGTGTGTTTTTGTATACCTATATTATATAGATGTCACACCTGTGACAGGTAAAAACATGCTTTTTTTGAAAAACAGCGCCATCTGTTGGGTGTAAAAGCAACACATGCTTTTACCAGACTGAGCCACAGCAACGCGTGGCTGGGTACAGCTAGTATGTATGTATGTATGTATGTATGTATGTGTGTGTGTGTGTGTGTGTGTCTGTGTATGTAATATATATATATACATACACACACTAAGAATTTGACCTGGTTCTGCCAGTTGGCTTGGGGGAATATCACACCGGAGGGGGTTGATCAATTAAGAGGAAATCCTACATCCTGCTTCTTCCCTCCCCATCTGTTAATTGCGACTTCATCTGGATTGTAATTCGCTTTGTATTGTTTTTAGAAATGTTTATTTTTTTGAACGGTTTTATTGCTCTTAAAGCTGCATGCCGGCCAGAGTCGCTTCGGAGGAGATGAGCGACAGACAGATTTAATAAATAAATAATAATCAATAAATACATTTGTGTCGAGTGCCACCAACCTCAAGCAGCGTATATAAAATCTGGGTTTTCAGATCCATAAGATATGTAGGAAACAATCAGCAAGGCAGTCTGTGCCCCTTTCACAAGAGGAGCAAGCCCCCTCCCCTTTTTTAAAAGGACTTCAGGTCGTCTCCGACTTGGCGACGTTTCATTTAGTGACCGTTCAAAGTTACAACAGCCCTGAAAAAGATGGGCTTAGGACTGTTTTTCACTGCTAGCGACCGTTGTAGCGACCCCATGATTGTTTGATCAAAATGCAAAGGCTTGGCCACTGACATGTATTTAATAATAATAATAATAATAATAATAATAATAATAATAATAATAATAATAATAAAGTTGGAAGGGATCTTGGAGGTCATCTAGTCCAACCCCCTGCTCAGGCAGGAAACCCTACACCATTTCGGACAAATGGCTGTCCAGTCTCTTCTTAAAAACTTCCAGTGTTGGAGCATTCACTGCTTCTGGAGGCAGGTTGTTCCACTGATTAATTGTTCTAACTGTCAAGAAATTTCTTCTTAGTTCTAGGTTGCTTCTCTCCTTGATTAGTTTCCCTCCGTTGCTTCTTGTCCTGCCTTCAGGTGCTTTGGAGAATAGCTTGACTCCCTCTTCTTTGTGGCAGCCCCTGAGATATTGGAACACTGCTATCATGTCCCCCCTCGTCCTTCTCTTCGTTAAACTAGACACACCCAATTCCATCAACCGTTCCTTATATGTTTTAGCCTCCAGTCCCCTAATCATCTTTGTTGCTCTTCTCTGTACTCTTTCCAGAGTTGGTTGCAGTGCCCCGGGGTCACGTGATCCACTTTTGCAAACTTCTGACAAGCAAAGTCAGTGGGGGAAGCCAGATGCAGTTAACAACCAGGTTATTAACTGAACAATCGCAGTGATTTACTTAACAAGTGGGGCAAGCAAGGTCTTAAAATGGGGCAAAACTCACTCAACAAATGTCTCATTTAACAACTGACATATTGGGCTCAACTGTGGTCGTAAGTCGAGAACTACCAGTGCTTTCTTGCCATATATTGCCTGTATGTAGGAGTCTCATTTGAAAGTATTGTTAGTTGCCCAAAATCATCTTGTTTGGGATGGGCAGCCATATACACCTGCAAAATAAATAAATATGGGCATTCTTGTGACCTTAACCTTCTCAGGGTTACTAATTAATCCAACCAAGGCTTATATTTAGAATTAACAGCTCAACCAAGGTTGTTAGCAGTCCGATGCCACGGCATTGTACAGACCTTTGTGTCTAATATTTTTACTGTCACAGCTGAGAGTGAAGAGTGTACAGTAGCGGCCAAAATTGTGGAAACCTTTTGGGAAAAGTGTATTTTTGAGGTTTGATGGCTAATAACACCACTTTTTGCGGGGGAGTAGTACCATAAAATTATATATCAATGGAAAGATAATTTAATCAAGAATGTAATGCAACATAGTTTGTTCAATTATCTGTATTCTATTTTATGAAAAGTTATAGCCAAATGAAGCTTTCCTTCATCCGATTGTAGCCAATGAGCACGAGTGTTTAGAGAGCCAATCAGGTGTCATTTTGTTTTGGCAATGAGCCAATCAGAGCACAGTAGGGTTCAGTTATTGATGTCCTGTATTGAAGCCGAGAGGAGGACATTTGTCAGTGTGTTATGTGATCGCTATCAAGTTGGTTGGGCTTTTTTGTGTTCTTTCATTTAGTGAGCTTGCAAAACGTAATAAAATTAAAGAAATGGTGCAAAGAGTTGACTGGTTGCCCAGAAAGCGATGTAAAATAGAATTATTAAGTGAACAAGGCTACAGTTATACAGAAATTAGAAGAAAAATTGGTCGAAACTTAACCGAAGGTGGCATTTCTACTGTACACTTTTCCCAAAACGTTTCCACAATTTTGGCCACTACTGTATTATTAGGGTAATGTTGAAAAGTGATTTACAGGAGTTTGAAAAAAAAGTGCACAGAATTCTAATCAATTCATGGCGTTCCATCTACAGGATAATTTGGACAAGCTGAAATGTTCCACTTAAGCTCTTATTATAGTAGATGTGATAATATCGGCCATTCGGTATGTCTGAGGATAAATATTTGAAGAGGATTGAGAATAAAAGCTTAAGACATTTCTGATCTTTTGTAGACAGTTAAAATGAAACCAACAGTTAACAGACAGTTAAAATGAAATCAATGAACGATTAGACACTGCGTCACTATATTCAGCGAATATAGTCTCCACCCATCTTCTATTAAGCATTAAAAAAAATAACATCTATCGCCCTGTACACGAAATAGTTGAGTTAATTGCAGTTATGTAAACACCATACCTGAAAATTCTTTTCAAAAGTAGAAAAGGAAGAGGTTTCACCAGAGTTGGCTGGATGAAAAAAAATTCAATCAGTGATCCGTAAAAATAGAAACACAGTGTTACCTGGGGTGAGGAATAAATTGTCCCCAAATGAGTTGACGTGTGACAGTTCCATTACATTCCCCCATTTTTATTACTGAACTACATATGATACATGGGAAACAATGATGGCAGATTGTTATGTATGTATAACATTGTTCTCTAGACTGTTCTTTTTAAAAACTGAGTAATTGCAGAAAAGAAATTCTCAAATGGAAAATAAACAGAGGAAGATAGGGCTGTGTTCCCCCCAACCAGCCACCCTCAAATACAATAAGTTTTCTTTCACAGGGGAAAACGTGTAACTATTGATATATGTGTGTGTGTGTGTGTGTGTGTGTGTGTGTGTGTGTGTGTG